ATTGGAATGACGCATAATCATCATAATGGGTAACTATTATTCTCGGATAGGACTGAATCAATATTTTTTACCACAACATTTTTGTATTCCTTATTCACTTCAGAGATGGTAATTAATTTAAATAACATGTAAGTGTATGGATATATAAGTGTCCATATTATTTTATGTTAAAATAAGTTAAATTCTGAAAACATACATTAAGTATATAAATATGGGAATTTTGTTTTGCATGCCTTATAAGTAGCGTAGTTATAACTTACACTAAAAAAAAGTAATGATTCAGAGTATAAATAATACTGGCACCCAATATACAAACAGCAAAATATATTCTGAAAATAATAATATTATCTATGGCAGGTATTTTTTTAAATAAACAAATGTCAAATCAGTCACGCTTGCGTTTATAGATAGATGGTAGATAACTGAAAACAGCTTAAACTAATCTTTTCACTAATAAAAATAAAACATATATTTATAAATAATCTTAACATGTTTCAACATGAACTTGCTATGGCACCAGTATAACATATAATAAATTATGATTCGTTTAACAAATAAATCAAAAAGTATGCAATCGTACATATGTAAATTAGCTAAGTGACTTATCTGATTTATTTTTTATTAGCCATAGAATATTAAAAATAAAAATAAGTATAACTAACTGTATAATTATGTTTTTTATTGATTTAATAGGATAAGGTGATTCATGAAGTCAGGTCAATTTATCAGGGCAATCGTGGTCAATTTATAAATAAATAAATCTCTTCTTCTGAATCGATGTCTGATTGTATTAATATAACAGAATAGCAGAGAGGATGGACTCACTGCTCCCTCTGAGTTATAGACCGTTTCGTCTCGTATATTACTTTCAAATTTTATTATAGACAACTTTATTGGAGACAAATAAAGATGTTTATTATTATTGAAAAGCCACTAACAATACCCTGCCTCCCATATTTTGTTTAATAACCATGTTTTATTGTGTTTCAGTCAAAAAAACTTGAAACTTTGCTATGATAATCGGGTCAAGTGGTCACACCCGAGCCAACACTCGACTTCGTATTTATTTGGATACTGTATCAGATTTAATGGAATTTAACCTACCTAGACAGTTTATCGCATGTAAATAATGTACATTAAATATATATTATCAATGTACAAAATTATATAATGCTTGTGTATAACTATTATGTTATAATTACGAGACTTGGGATCTGCAGAATATCAATTTAACTCTGAATTAGTGCTATTAGATGATAGTCCTTAAAAATTCTGCTTATTGTTCCGCCTGCCACCTTTAATTATGTTATTTTGCTAGCTGATCCGCGCAACTTCGTCTGCATTACAAGTTATATTTCGCCCAATTTTCATATCTTTTAAAATTATAGCCTATGTGTTATTCTGATGTAGTTATTACTGTAAAACATCATCAAAATGCGTTCAGTATTTTTGCGTGAAATAGTACCAAATATCCATACTCACTACTATCGTGTTTATAATATTATTAAGATTAAGATGTTAACTATGATGTTCAATAAGATGTACATTAAGATGTTCAATTTAATGAAACAAATTATTATAATTAATTTTTCTCTCTCTAAAAGTTCTACGTTCTACTCTAAAATTCGAAAGAAAATTTGAAAGTATTGCGATCGTGCTTGCGTGAGGACGCAATGTCTCTGAAGAGATAACGAATACTGAAAATTACCTATATCGTTATTTTATTTCGTAGATATATTCCATTTAATATTTACTACAATTTTTAAGATACTGGTGCTTTTAAGTCAAACTGTTACTTGAGATTAATTTGCTGAACGCATTATAAGATTAAACAAAAGAAAAACGATGAAGAAGAAGCGATCAATGTTAATTATATATCAAAATGATTCATTGTTGCTTTTTTATTTTAGAGAGACTATAAACTCTTTACGGGCAATATAAAGTTACGCAAGTAAGCCGTAATAGGTTATAGCGTTAAGGAAATAAAGTTTAAATTACCGGAGCACATTAGTAACAAACAGAGGAAGGAACTCAGTGAGCAAAGCAAAAACTTGGACCTTAGATGACGTAACCGGACAATGACCTCAAAAACCATGATCCAATGGATTTTGACTGAGATGGTTCGAATGTTAATTATATAGCAAACTACTTGTAGTTTTCCCGCGACTTCGCCTGCTTTTAAGATAAATATAGCCTGTGTCCCGTCCTCTTGATACAATCTATCTTCACGTCAAATTACATTAAGATTTGTTCAGCTGTCGTATTGAACAGTAACCAGACCGGAAAATGCACCTTTTTAATTATAGTATTAGTATTTTTATGTACGACATTCGTAATGTAGTACCTACAGATAGTATTATGTAATATTCTCTTATCTGTTCTAGTACTATGTTAACGCTTGAAACATTAAAAGCAAATAGGTATATCTTACAATATTATTTGAAATATATATATATTAGTAATAATAATACTAATTATAAACGCTAAAGTTTGTTACTCTTTCATCCAAAAACTACTGAATGTATTAAATAAAAACATTGCAATGATATAGTTTATACATCAGAATACTACATAGGCTATAAATTTATGCGGGTGAAACCGCCGGTATAGCTAGTTGTATATATTATATTTGGGTTGTCCTGACTATCAATGCACAGTCAAAACTATCAGATGTAGAAAGTTAAAATTTAAATCATGGATTCATTTTAGGACATAAATTTTCTAAGAATTGTTATTAGAAAGTCATAAATTAAATATTAAATTTAACACTCTTAATAGAAACGTAAGTAAGTAAACCAGTAAATAATTTATTTATATTATATATATAAATTTTGTATGTATACTATATATAATGTTTAGTGCACCTTAAATCTTATGGTGAAGTTTAATAGCAAGATAGCCATAAACGCGAAGCTATTCTGATGCCTTATTTGCTACTGGTGCAACACCTTATTTCATTACAAAAGAGACGCGAGATAAAATATTAATTTTAATATAATTACGTTGGACATTATATTTTATAAAAGTGTATAAAAAATTATAATAATGCATATTTATGCAAAAGTTACTTAACGAAACTGAATATCAGTATGGAGGTGCAATTATATTTAAATAGGTATGCATTTCCATCATATTATGTGCATGTGTAATAAAAAAAATGTTGACTACTTTGTAATGACTTATTAATACGGGTAAAGACAAACAATAAGTTGAACATCAAACAAAAACAGACGGACAATCACTAAAAAAGTTTGGCGTAATTTTGGTGTCAATATCGTCATAAATCTTATATATTATGTTTTTTGTTTACTCACTGTGCCCGTGGTTTCACCTACATTACATAATATATTTTCAAATGATAGCCTATATGTTATTCTGATGTATAAGCTATATTACTGTAAAGTTTCATAAAAATCCGTTCAGTAGTTTTTGCGTTTATAATATTAATTAAGATAAGATTGTTAACGGTTATAGAATACAGCCAGTACCGACCAATTATTAATGACTCGCTTTGCGTACATTTTTGCTTTTTTTACTCAGCTTCTATTAAACGCGAAAGTTTGTGAGTATAGGTAGATGGATCAATGGATGTTTGTTACTTTCTCACGCAAAAACTACTGACCGTATTTTGAAAATAGTTTACAGTAATGTTGCTTATGCATTGGAATAACACATATCCTGTAAGTTTTATGCTAGTTGCATAAAAATTTTTTCAAGAATTGGGTTTGAAACACAATATGTCAATTTCACATTCAATTCCTAGTTCCAGAGATAAATGCATTCAAATGGACAAAAACTCTTCAGCTATATAAGTATACCAGCTGACCCGTACAACTTTGTCTGCTTCAGACTTATATCTATATTTCCACCAAAATACATAATATCTTTTTAAATTATAGCCTATGTTTTACTCCGATGTTACTGATAAGATTCATCAAAATCTGTTCTGTAGTTTTTGCATGAAAGAGTAACATATCCATCCATTTATACTCACAAACTTTCGCGTTTATGCTATTAGTAATTTAGTTAGATAAGAAGTTAATAAGATTATGTACAGATATAATATACCATGACGAGTTTGGAATTATTTCAGGAACTCGCGTAACTGAGGAATTTGTAGTCACCCAGGCAGGTGCAACTCAACATAAGTGTTTGCTATCCTGATGTTTGTACAAGTTGTTCACGATAAACTTGGCTGGCCTAGTTTTCATAGGTATTATGCCTTTGAGTAATCTAAGTGAACATTGTGACCTGGCAGGGCCATAAAGTTTAATGGTGTTCCTTTTGGCATAAGCAAGTAATGAATATTTATGACATTGTATTGTGTTATTCAGCTAAAAAGAAATACTATAAAATAGTCAATTTTAAGTTACGTGTTACAGAGAAACTACTGGTTTAAATTCTATAGAAGCTACTTAATTGGAGTTTTTATATGTAGAGATTAATTAATGAGGATGACGAACGAGGTATGTTTAAATTGAAGCATTTGCGATCCATTGTTTCTGTCTACTTCAATGGGAGGGAATGTATGGAAGTCATTTATTATTAAAATATATTAATCTTATTAATATTATTATAAATATAAAAGTTTGTGAGTATGGATAGATGTTTGTTACTCTTTCACGCAGAAAGTACTGAATGGATTTTGTTGAAACTTTACAGTGATATAGTTTATACATTAGAACAACACATAGGCTATACATTTCATGGGGGCGAAACCGCGGGCACAGCTAGTGGTATATAATTCTGGACATATTACACAGTCATCTAGAGCCAAAGCAAGCAGAAGTCGTAGTCGTTCTACACAAGTGTAATACGTATTATAAAAAAAGACTACTATTCTAAACTGTAAAGAAATTGTATTAGGGATTGAACTTGCAAATACTAGGTGAGGTAGTCCACAGAGCCCGTTACTATTCAAAATTAATTTGACACAAAGCTATTAATATTAGTATACCTACGATGATATTTTTATGCTTAAATTATGTATAAGTACTGACCTGTCATTTGCAGCTGCCTCCTGGATGCCGGAGTCCGCGGGGTGACGGGCGTGCGAGATGCTCTAGGCGTTCGAGGGGTGCGCGGCGTGCGGGGGCTATTTCCAGCACTTCCAGGACTACGCCGTGATGGTGACCTCAGACCCGTGTTCCCAACACACGTCAACACCCCTGCTCCACTTCTGACTGGACTATCAGCGTTCTCCTTATCCTCCTCGTAGAACTTGACAGGCGAATCCAATTTGGCAGCTTTGTACGCACATTGCGTTTCCACATCAAAGTTGAAACGTCTTATAAACCGCTTCCTATCTCTGGCGTACTGTTCCGCCACCAGACGCTTGGTTTCGTCCCGGTCTGGTGCTCCGAATAAACACTTACAGCTTCCCCGTCTTCTCCTTGGGGTGTTGGAAACATTCCTCAATGGTACAGCCATCTCGAACCTCCTTTGCTTCGGTGTACGTCCCTCGGCCATATCAGCACAACTAAAGCGTCAGGTGAGCTACGACTGGTTCGCGAGAAACATCTGACTAATCTCCCGAGAAAACAGCTGTTGCGCGCAGGTAGGGAGCGAGAGGGTGGATATAAAGAATAGTATGCGAGAAGGGGAAAGACTATAACGAGTACACCTGGCGGATGGACGAAATCGCGCCAATTCTAACCTATAAACGACAGCGTGGTTACGTCTGCGCGCGCGTCCATACCGATTACGACTGACGCTGCCGTTTTCCCGCGCTTGCGCATGCGACGATTTTGGCAGTCACTTGGCGCGCAAACCCTTAACAATAGAATCAAGGACGTCTTTTTGTCCGTCTCAGAATACAGGTGAAATGAATAAGAAAGGGGATATTTCTATAAACTATTCACGTGCTCGAATAATACTGTACCGAGATCTTAGCGACCGACGTGCGGCCGTGGCGAGGGCACTGAGATTTATTTATAGATCAGAATTACGTTATCAGTTGTACCTAGCTACTGAACGATAAGTAAGACCAGACGTATTATTCTGTTGTTCTTACCATTTTTATTATTAACATATTTTTTATATAAACTTTGGTGTAACTTTGAAATATTTCTTACTTCTGTTTTTATATATATTTACTTAGGTAAATTTAAATGAAGACTCAGTCTCCAGTATAGTCCAGTCCAGTTTAGACCAGTCCAATGTAGTGGGACCAAGTGTAACATTTGTTCATGACACTACATGCATCGGAAATTCATGAAGCAATAAAATCATTTTCGAGATAGAACAATTTATGCCACTTATGCACTTCAATAAATTAATAATAATAGTTTAATTTCTTCTAGTTTTTACACTTTACATTGTTCCATTATTCTTAAACTTTAATAAGAGAATCAAAATAGGCATAATAATATATACATATACTCCATATTTTGTCCTTAAGTACTGAGTTTATTCCGTATTGAATTCAAACCATTTAAAATATTACATCCATCGACTCTGCAACATATTTGAGGTTATCTCTCCATCTGCTATTAGAATAAAATAAAAAAAACGTGTAAGAAAACAAATATAAATATTTAGCTAAACCAGTTATTGTCTGAATAATGAAATTAACTTATATTAGAACCTAACTGCTAAATAAACCTAACTTTTGTATACCTATAAAAGAACTAGGTAGGTACATAGTTTATAAAATTATTTTATCTGTATTTTTAATAGTATAATTTATTTTATTATATTATTTATTATTGTTTTATATTATTTATACTATTAATATTATGATAACATATTTTTACTATCTCTGCAAAAGACACGAAATGGTTAAAGTTAGTAGCTGTGCCCGCGGCTTCACCCAGTTGATATTTGTAGCCTGTTAGCGTTATACGATATTACTGTAAAGTTTCATCAAAATCGGTTCAGTAGTGTTTGCGTGAAAGAGTAACAAACATCCATCCATACTAACAAATTTTATCATTTATAATATTAATAAGATATACTTATGAACTAAAAGATCTCTAAATTAGAGCCTTCTAGTTAATGTTTGTTGAGAAGCGGTTTGAAACATTTTCACTGCTCCTGTTATAGCGCAACATTCATTTTATTTTCCATTGTGTTCGTTCTATACGACTGTAATATATGTAATATATAGAATTACAAATTCGCCTAAATTACAGCCTGAATGTAAGACAGGTAGTGGTTAGCTTTTGACGATGTACCACATTACTTTAAGTGTTACCTATATGTTATTTATATTACAGTGCTTCTTTCTTTGAGTATGCGGTTGTATACATATATTATATGTATGGCAGTGACATGTCTCTTTAAAAATCACCCCTAAAATATTTTTAACACAATCTTCATTTTTATGACGTGGTATTAAAAAATACATATATCCCTAAATTTTCACTATCAGCAACCCTAGCGATTTTAACTTATATGGCAAAATAACATTTGCCGGAACAGCTAGTTTTATATTAAATAAATTTGCAGAGCGAAAGTTTATATAATTTAGTTTTTAAAGAGACAATAAGTTACGAAAGTAGGTTTGCATACCTATAATTTAGGGACATATGTATTTTTTAATTCCACGTTATAAAAATAAAGATTTTGTTAAAAATATTTTAGGGGTAGGACAACCTTTATCACTTAGGTAGTAGCCGATTCTCAGTCCTACTGAATATGTATATAAAATTTAATAAAAATGAACATTTCTGAGGAGTATGGTAACTAACATTGTGACACGAGAATGTTGTATAGGTATAAGATATAATCCTGGTACAGCCCATAACTGGTGACCTCGACGTGATATGAACACGCGACCTTCTGATATCACTAGTCTAAGCGCCGAAAGGGTGGCCCAGAAGTCACTTTACATTTTGAAAATTAAATAACTTTTTTTCTATTAATATATTTCTTTTTCTCTTTTCAGAATTAAAAAATATAATCCCTGGAAATTTTTATCATGGATAAGTTTACAACAGAACAACGAGTGAAGATAATTGAATTTTACTTTGAAAATGGATGGTCAATTGTTGCAACGCAAAGATCGTATATGTGCCATTTTAATGTTCGACATCCCCCTAGTAGGCCTGCAATAAGGAACTTAGTGAAGCGTTTTCAACAAATGCTGTTGAAATCTTTACTCGTTGTTCTGTTACTACTAGGTACCTACACACCTTGTAGACTTGAGGACTAGAACCTATCTTTAAAAAAAGTAGGTTAAGTTAGGTTAGTAGTTTAATTATGGGAAATTATTTCAAGATACACTTGAAATAATTTAACTAATCATATTCAACTTAAGAGGTATTCAATTTTTTATAGCCTAGTGGTTTGATATCGAAATTTAGAACTTTTCTAAGGTCGTGATCTTGAATCCTGTCGACTTTGTGTTTCTTTGATATGGCTGACACTCATGAATATCTTCCTTATCCCATTTATTTGGGGTCGGAGTAACATTTTTAATATTTCTGACCGACATTCCAGTGATGGTAATAAATATTATTAACCAACAATTGTCGAAAAATTAACAAATACATTATATGCCTACTATTAGCTAGAAGCCTTCTTAATAAAACAAAAAATATCTCATAAGCTTATTTTGACAAATATCACTATTACATAACTCCTGTAAAATTATATCGACATCTGATAATTTATTAGTAAATACTTAATGTTATTTATCTGTGTTACAATATTTTGTCAGATCATTATTGCGTACTAGCTTTGTCTGCGGTTTTACACGCGTAAAATTTAGTGATGATAATGATGTATAAGCTACAAATACTGTACAGTTTCATCATAATCAGTTTAGTGATTTTTGCGTGATAGAGTAACAAACATCCATCCATACTCACAAACTTTCGCTTTTATAATATTAGGGAGATTTCCTGTCAAAATATACGGAATGTAAAAAAGTTAATTAATAAAATTAGTATATGATGATTTTGCCGAACAACATGTGTAAGAGTTTAAAACGAATTAAAATAAACAACTACTTAATAAATTATACATTCAATTTAATTAAACGTTGGGATTAAAGTCCTGTTCCTTATCACGCTGTGGGAACGACACTAATTAATTTAGCTCGTTGAAACTTGTAAAAGATTTGAGAAAACTTGATTTTACACCTTATATCGAAAGTGTTTATCCAACTGCCAAAGAAACTCTGTATGATTCTTAGATCTATGGATGTAGATATGTACGGATCTTAAATATAAAAAATGCTAAACAGTTGGTCGTATTTTATTTTATAGTAGATCACGTTTATATTATTTTTGACAGTGTCAGAAATATGCTGCTGTCTGGTCATCCGCACCCCCTAGGGAGAAGGTTGAGGCCTCGGGGCGAACCACCTTACCCCGGCATTAACTCCGGGGCAAAAACCTCCGGGTGAATGGGCTGAAACCCATCAAATAATACTATACTAACAGAAAATATTTAATTTTGATTTTGACAAACGTCAAAATATCACTTGTCAAAATAAGACGGCTGTATGGGCTAAGAGTCCTTGCCTTACCTATAAGGATAAATAAAACAAAAAAAAAGTTTTATGATGACTGTATAGACGCAGTTCCCTTTGCCTTTCCATTAAAGTATAAACAGAACCAAAATAAAAAAGAATGATTCTTTGTACTAAATGTGTGTAAATAATTATCTATATTTGTTTTGATCGTGATTTTGTGACTTCAATTTTATTATACAAGTCTATTTAAATGTACTCGTCGTTTTCCTTGACATAAGTTCGAAATTACAAGACCTAAACTAACATGTCTCATGTTCTTCATATAGGCTAATTTTATTTTCGTTTTCCTAAATATTCCGATAATATCACATTTAGAATCGATTTAGAAACATAGACATAGTCCGATAAAATCATGTTCCGTGGTTAAAGTACAACTAATAAATTCATTTTGACGACCTCGGTGGTCTAGCGGTCTAGCACACCGCTTTACGTCCGATGGTCGCGGGTTCGATTCCTCACACACTACACATTTGTATTCATGAGTATGATTGTTTATGTCAGTCTGGGTGTTTTCTATGTATATTATGTATGTATTTACGAAAAATAAAAATTAACTATGTATTTGTAACAGTTATCTAGTACCCATAACACAAGCTTTAACTAGCTTAACTTGGGTCTAGATGGCGCTATGTGAATTGTCCTGAGATTATTATTATTATTATTTTAAATACAACTACGCGATCTGTCCAGGTTTCGTACGGATGTTTTGCAAATCTTTGATTTTCTCGGCTTCTATTATACATAAACTTTCCTCTTGAATCACTCTATCTATTGCTGAAAACTGATTTAAAAGATATAAGCGAATAGACAGCGCCGGTGAATTGGTTCTATACTATGCAAACATTATAAACAAATTACCTGTTTGATTAAACAATATCCATTATAGACATCTGTCAAATTTTAAATCAATAATGTTAACAAAAAGCACGTGTTCAAATTAATTCCCCGGCAAAATAATAATTTCGGTGTCATATTGTAATATCGGAAATCGTTATAGGGAAAAATTAAATTGAAAAATGCTAGCCAATGTCCAACCACCGTAAAATTAGGGTTAGGGTCAGAAGCGGACAATCGGCAGGTACAATATGGTCTAAATGGTACCTACGGACTATAGTGCCAATGCATAATGATATATTAAACAACAAAATTATATAATTAGTTACTATGTTGAAATAATGTTTTTTATTCCGTGTATTCATTCTTCTTTAAATAATATAAAATGAAGTCGTTTTGGTTGTCTGTTCCCTTAGATATATTATATGTAATGCCATGATTTTAACACAGTTTTTAGCAATAGATAAAGTAATTAAAGAGGAATGTATAATACATGTTTACCCATAGGAAGTCGGGGCGGATAGT